GCCTTGAGCTGAAGAGCTGAGGGACAGCGCCCAGGCCCAGAGTTCAGGCCCCATGACCGGACCCCCCCCAAAAAAAAAAAAAGCTAAGGGAGAGCTCAAGGCTCTGAGTTCAAGCCCCAGTACGATCACAGAGAGAGAGGGGGAGGGAGTAGGAGGGAGGGAATATGGTGGTGAGGTGGACAGGGATACAGGAGCAAAGAAAAGAGTATCAGTTCCAATGAAAAAGGCCTGAGAGGCTTCCAGGAGGAGGCAACATTTGACCCAAGGAAGAATACAGGAGTTTTGAGTTGCTGGAACATGAAAAAGAGGGTGGTGGGTGACAGGCCAGGCCCAGGACTCAGTGTGGTGTTACACAGACACATCACTTACCTGTTGCCCTCTTCTTCCTCACTTGTGAAGAGAGAGTAATGGGGCTGGGAATAAACCTGTGCGTGAAGTGTTAAGTGTGAACAGAACGAGCATTGTTGGCAATGTTCTACTCACCCCTGTGTGCACAGTAAAGTGTCAGTTTTGGAGACAATTTTCACTATTAAGTGGTCACACAGTAATGAAGACACCACTCAAATCCAAGTGGCCTCATCTCCCATCCATTGGCCTTTATACCTGCATTTTCTGGCTTTGCATTAAATTCGGAGGGAATGTAGAAGGAGAGGAAGAGCAGTGTGTGGAGGGAGAAACTCTACAAGAGGTCAGTACTGATGGACTTCTTGCGGGGGGGGGGGAGGGTTGGGGGGATCTGGTGTTCCAGGAGCAACTGATGGGTACAGTTGAGCTGGTATTCAGGAATGGATTTGGGGGAGGGGGAGTAGCTAGCTGGTGGCAGAGGTTTGAACAGTGAGAGCTAAGGAGAGGTAGGACAGGAAGGACAGGCAGATGGACCATGTTATAAGCACATTGATGGAGTGTTGTGGGACCACAAGGAGCAAAAGGATTAACCAAAAAGGTTGTTCCCAATAGAATCAGATGTGGGAGTGAAAAGAAAGATACTTGTTTTCGCTGGGTGTGGTGGCTCCCTGATGCACAGGCAAGAGGCCTGCAAGTTTGAGGCCAGCCTGGGCAGCGTAGCAAGACCCTGTCTCCAAGAACAACAACAAAAAGATACCTGTGTTTGAGAACCACTAAGATCTGGGTGGTAGGTTGGGCATTTCCAATTTATTATGATGATTGGGGATCAAACCCAGGGTTTCACATATTCTAGCACAGAACACCTCCCCCCAGCCCCTTGAATGTATTATTTTCCTTGAGCTTCATAACAGCCCAAAGTAGCCTGGGATCAATGTAACCATTTTATTGATAAGAAAACTGAGTCATAGAGCCAGCCAGAGGGGGAGTTACACATCAGCTGACTCTGTTTACCATGTGGCTGCAAGCTGTTCTGGCTGTCAGAATGTCCCTTGCACTCTGAGTGACCCCACCAGGCACTGCTGTCCAGCCAGGACTCAAAAGTCTTTCAGAGTCCAGTATACCTGAGGCACATCCTGGGCTCAGCACCCCTGGGACTCTGGGGGCGTCCACTAGCCACATGGTAGGATAGCATGCTTGGCTTCTGGTCTGACAGAATGGGTTCATGAAAGCTGGCTTGGCTGGAGACATTGAGCAACAACCTTAATCTCACTGAACCTCAGCTGAGGTAGGCGGGCAGGGCGAGAGAGCATGAGCTCTGGACTGGAGGCAGAGGATGAAAGCCCAGCTGGAAGCAACAGACACCAGACGAGGTGAAATGACAGGGTGCCTGTTTTTATTTCAACAGAATGCTAGCAAGTCGTTTTTTTAGGTGGGTGCAGGGGAAGAATTAGACAGAAAGTAAGATTGCCCAGGACTTAATAATTGCCGAGGACAGGTGATGGGTTTATCCTTCTACCCCTAGGTGTCTAAAAATGTCCACAGTAAGAAATAGATAATAACACAGAAGAGCTTTCTCCATAGTTGGATGAAATCTGACTATCTGCACTGCCCCCTCTCCAGCCAGGTCAAAACGTCTGCTTCCTAGATCTACTTTAAAATCCCCTCAAGCTGGATGCTGGTGGCTCAAACCTGTAATACTAGCTAGGACAGACTGGCTGAGATCTGAGGATTCTGGTTTGAAGCCAGTTCAGGCAGGAAACTCTGTGAGACTCTTATAGTCAATTAACTACC